GGTAACCTTGCCACATACTCATGCAATTGTCTCTGTAACACTATCTTTCAAATAAAATAAATCTTTAAATATACACACACATAAAAGGTATTTGTTAGCCTTCTGTATATTGTGTTATTGGAAATATTTATTCAGATCTTTTGACCAATTAAAAAAAATCTATCCACTTGAGAGGTAGAGGCAAGGAGAGAAAGATGAATAAAGAAAGCAAGGGCTCTCATCCTCTGAGTCATGTCCCATGTGTTTCCTGAGGCCTGGACGCAAGAACTGGGAGTCACAAAACAATCAGGTTTCCTCTGTGGGTGTCTGGGACCCAATCATTTGAACCATCTCCTTTGCCTAGCAGGAAGCTAGGGGTAGGAATCAGAGTGTGGGGGCCAAGGAAGTCAAAGGATACGGAACATAGTCATTCTCTTCACATCTTAGCCACTGTAGCAAAGGCCTACCGCGATCTGTCCACTTCCTATGTGTTTGATAAGTTGAGTTTTCTGTATGCTGGACTCTATTCCTTGCTAGATGCACAGGCTGAATGAATGTGTGTCCTCCTTCTAGCCCGCTGACCTGTGTGATGCTTCCTGGGGTTTGTACGTTCCCTCCCCATGGAGCAGCACTTCTCCTGAGCCACCAAGGTGTCTTCTTTCTGATCCTCATGAAGCACACGTGCATCTGAGTATGAGCGGGTTAGACAGACTGCCTAGGGAAGGAATGGACTCTCCGGGCAGGGCTCCCAACTCAGCTGTGTCTGTTGAACTCCTCTGCCTGGATGACCAGCAGGCTTCTTTGTCAAGGGGAGAAAAGAACTGGTGTCAGAGCAGGGTGGGGACATGGAAAACCCAGGGTACCACCAGCACTAGGGCAGGAAAGGGTCCCATGGAGTAGGGAGGGGAGAGCAGAAACACTCAGGGGAAGGGCCCAGAAAAGCAGGGAGCTCCAGTGCGGAATCTGGAGTTTCCAGGATCTGGACAGTCACACCTCCTAGCCTTAGCTCAGAGCCTCCATGACACCCAGCAGGAAGTGCAGAGCCAGTTATCTGTGGGGATTTTAACCTCATGCCTCTTCAAAGAACGCCTTCTGAGTTATCCAATTACAAACTCATTGCTGCTTGCAGTCTATCCTGACACTGCAGTTGGCCATAACTCCAAGACTGAGAGGAGGGTCCTGGGCAGCCAGGAGAGAAGAGAAGCAGCCCCAGTACTGCGCCTGCATTGACTTCCACCAGCTCAGCTGGTTCCTGCTCTCCCATGAGATCTCCTTGCCCTGCCCCAAAGACTGCCCAGCCCACTTCCTGCCCACTTCAAATTTTGGCATGGATACATCTTGATCTGTACCCAGGGTGCCCAGGGCAGCCTCTGGGGCACAAGTGGAGCACATGAAGACATGCCCAGAACCATGTGGCCACACAGAATATGTATGCGGTTCTGTGCCGTGCCCTGTGGGCTCCTGCTGCTCCTAATCACTGGCCAGGATGAGGCTCCTGCATGCAGGCACTGGGACCCGGGTCAGATCTGCAGTTAGAGCCCGAGTTGGTGGAATGGCCGGCACCTGAGAGGAAGTGGGAGAGGGTGATGTCTGCACTAGAAACAACAAGCTGTGAGCTCAGCAGGAGGTTTTGAGTGGAGCTGCTCGGGATAAGCCATGGGACAGGTGCAGGGACAGGATTTAGGCCCATTCCTTTCCGTGCTTGTGGATGCACCAATGCATATGCCCAGTCAAAGGATAGTAATGAACCTGAGTGTTTTTGCCACAACTCTAATCAAGGAGGCCCCTGCGAGGTAAGTGATGGGCAGACTACAGAAGCCTCGGGTGCCAATTCTAGGTCCCTTCTGAGACTCAGGAGCACCTGTACCCCATGCTGCTGCCTAGGGAGTAGGTGATGGCCTACATGCATGGCCTTCTTAACAAAAGCTCAGGCCACACATGTCAGGCTCCTGGGGTGTGTCCTTCATCTTTTATCTGCTCATTCAGAAGGCTCAGACTGGAGCCAGCCTGCTAGAGCATCAGGTTAAATTACTACTTGGAGCACTGCATCCCACAAGGGTGCACATTCCAGTTGTGCTTGATCTACTTCCAATCCTTCTCTCTCTGCTAATGCACCTGGGAAAGCAGCAGAAGATGGCCCCAATGCATGGGCCCCGGCACCCATGGCAGAGACACAGATGGAGCTCCAAGTCCCTGGCTTAGGACTGACCCAGCCTTGGCTGTTGGGCTGTTTGAAGAGGAACCAGTAGACAATTCTGTCTCTCCCTCTCTCAGAAAACTTGACGTTTTAAAAAGTAAGTAGATCTGTAAGAAAATACAAAAATAACCAAAGCCCAAGGATTCTTCCTCTGCACTTTCCCAATCTAATGTGCCAGCAGCAGTCCACACTCTTGCTTCTTCTGGGCTTATCCAACAGGATCCCTCCCTCCTTGTCTTTGTTTGGTCTCTCCCAGGTGAACAGGACATTCTAGGCAGAAGGCTCAACCTCACACTTAGTGGCTCCCATTGAAATCATGTGTTGTGCTGGTTCCCATCTCAGAAAGAACACGGAGTCTCTGGGTATTCCGGGAGTCCAGCACCACCATGCTGACTCTGCAGATGCTGCCATCCTGGGTACCAGGGCAGCACCTGTGTAGAAGCTGCCTATGTCCTCTATGTGATCATCCAGCTCCAGCTCATCTATCACTAATACAGCGTAAGCATTGTTTCACTTGCTATGGCACTCTCTGTTTATGGTGCATGATGGGAAACATGTCAACAACCACCACAAAGGCGATCTTTGGCCTGGTTGCAGTCAGCCCAGTGGGCTGAGTTGATGGAAACTGAATCTCTAATGTGGGTGACTCCAGCACCAGAGCAGTCACTGTCTCCAGGCAACTTCTGCCTTGTCCGGAGTGCACTCTTCCTGTGGCAAATATGGAAGCTAAACCCAGGCTCTTTGTTGCAGGGCGAAGGCTGCCCAAGCTGCTCCTTCACTGTAGGGCTGTGTTTGGCAGTGCTTTCAGTTCTTCTGGGGTTGATATTTAGGGTTGCAGCCACTGGTCCTATGGCAATGCCAGCTGCAATCACTTGAAAAACTGCCCAATTGGCTTCCAGAGCAGTTGCACCATATCCCCTTGCCACTTGCACTTTGTGAAGGCTCCAATTTCTCCACATCCTGACCTATACTCTTGATGACCTGTTGCCGGTTCTTGTTGATTTTACTGTGTTTTGAGTCTCTTTTACTCTGCATGCCACCTCTTGCCTCTGCCTCTCTTTTCATTTGCTTCTAATTGTGCTGATTTTAAAGAACCCAAGAACTTCCTTCTGGTTTTGCTAGGGTTGGTAGCACCATGTGGGTTCTGCTGATGGTGCCCTGGTGGTAGCAATGAATCATACTCATGTGCTCTGTGCATTTGTAACTCTATTCTAGAGGTGACTTCAGATTCTGGTTCTAGGTTTCAGCTTGCTTTTTTGGCAAGGTTGCTATGCAGTGCTGTAATTCCCAATAGGAAATCTGTGGTGTTTGGTTGTACTGCTTCATGTGTCAAAATTTGTCCTAGAGAGGGGACTGCACCACCAGTATGGGGTCAACTGGTGGGAAGTCCCTACCTGATCAAGCCACCCTGACCATAGGTGCCAGTTCTGGACCTGGTATCTGCTCCCAGAAGATCCAGGAGCTGATGAGGGCTGAGCAGGTGCATGTGCAGATGCAGCTACCACAAAAGATCCTTGGGAGGACTCATGGGCCAGTGCCCACTTGTTCTCCTCTGTGAGCTCAGTGGCTCCAGTATTGAGAGGAGGGTGTCATGGGGCAAGCAGTGACAGGGACCGAAATGGGGAGGCTATGTTCACATTTGTTGCCTTTGGGTCCACTTCTGATATCTGCCAGGGTAGGTTCCCCTTGAACCCCAAACCCCGCCCAGTAATGCTCACTCCGCCCAGTCCCTGCCCAGTACAAATTCCAGCTTGGCAATTGCCTTGTTCCTCCCCTACAGCACTCAGGGCAGCCTCTGGGGCATACAGTGGCACACACACGGACCTGCCTGGGAACATGTGGCGGCACTGGCTGTGCACCCGGCTTGGCAGCTTGGCCTGCGGACTCATGCTGCTCCTTCTTCCAAGCCAGGGTGAGGCTCCCACGGGTGTCCACAGGGACCTGGGTTTGATTTGCAGTTCCAGCTGGAGAGCACATGGGATGGTGTGGACAAATGTGAGGGTGGGTGGTGATGGGACTGCCCCTTGTGTCCCTGTGTGCCAGGAGGCTGAAAGGGGATCATGGTTTCCAGGGACCAGATGCAGTGAGAAGGGAGACCAACAGGAGGGCGTTCAAGGGGCCAGCTTGTGGAGGAGGGGCTGAGTAGTTTCCTGCTGCCTGTGTTTCTGCCTGATGTTGCTGCTGCCTGCAGGTGCTGTGAACATGCAGTTAGGGCTTCTCCCACTGCGGGTTGATTATCAGTTGGCTGCTCTTGCCCAGAGACCCCCAGCCAACTCTGAGGGGTCTCTGAGGCAATGCCACTGGCCCTGGGAACACAGGCAGCATGAGGCTGCAGCTGGTCTGAGGGTCCACAGGGTCCCCCAGCTCATGCACCTTTCCTGGGGGCAAAAGTTCTCTTTTCTTTTCTTTTTTTTCCAATTGTTTGTATTCTTATTGGGAAGGCAGATTTAGTGAAAGAGGAGAGCCAGGGAGAGAAATCTTCCATCCTGGGGTTTATACCCCAAATGGCCACAACGGCAGGAGCTAAGGATCGGAGCCAGGAGCTTCCTCTGGACTCCTGCGGGGAGGGCAGAGGGAGGTGATGCAGTGACCAAGGACTTGGGCTACTAACAACTGCTTTCCCAAGCACATTATTACTGAGCTGGATAGGAAGTGGAGCAGCCAGCACTTGAAGCAATATGGGATGGTGGTGCCACATGCAGAAGCTTAGCCTGCAACACCACGCTGCTAGCTCCCCATAGGCTTGTAATTGAAGGCAAAGCTGATGGTACCCTGTGCCTGCCAGTGCCCTTGGGTCTATCTCAGAGTTCTGCCTATGTGGGCACCAGACCTGGGTGTGTTTTGATCCTTGATACTCTGGGTCAAAAGGCCTCCTCCCCCACCCGTTTACCCCCCCAACAGTTTCTCAATCTAATCTGCCAAAAGGGATCCATACTCACCCTGCCCTCTGCCCATCCTCCCCCTCCAACCCCTGCTGAAATTTCACCTTTACCTCCCCTTGCCCTCACTCTACAAGGTGATTCAGTCTTTCTGGAGGGAAGGCTACCTGGCCTTTCAGATGACTCTATTAATCAGTTACTTATCAATTTCTTTAAGGTTTTAATTATTTGAAAGACAGCTTAATGAAAGTGAGGGAGAAAGAGATCTTCCAGGGGCTGGCTCACTCCAAAAAGGGCCGTGGCAGGTGGAGATGGGCTACATGGAAACCAAGAACCAGGAACTCCACATGAGTGACATGGGCCCAAGCACTCAGGCTGTCCTCTGCTGCCTTCCCAGGTGCATTAGCAGTGAGCTGGGACTCCCATGGGTGCTCTGATATGGGGTGGTGGCATTACTGGAAACAGTTAACTTATAGGCCACAGCCCTGTCTCTAGGACTCTAACAATATTTCATGTGGGTTCTATGTTCAGAAAGACTACAGCTGATTCTTGGTGTGGGCAAAGAGTCTCCCAATGTTACAAGAAGGTTCAGGTGTTCCCTGGAGTGTTGCAGTTCCACATCCCTGAAAACAACACAAAAATACATTTTTGGTACTATTATGATGTGCTTATAAGTTGTTTTTTCCTGGAAAACTTTTTTTAAAGAAGAAACAGAGGAATCAGCACTGACATGCAGAGGGTTAAGTTGCCACCTGCAGTGCCAGCATCCTGTAAGAACTCAAGTTTGAGTCCTGGCTACTCCACTTCTGATTCAGCCGCCTGCTAAAGCACCTGCGAAAGCAGCAGAAGATGGCCTGAGTGCTTTGGCTCCTGCTGCCACCCAAGTGGGAGACCTAGATGGAATTTCTGGCTCCTGGCTTTAGCCTGGGCCTGCCCAAGGTATAGTGGCCTTCTGGAGAGTGAATTAATGAATTAATGAATGGAAGATTCTCTTATTTTTTCCCTCTCTTTTACTTCTCACTGAGTATAGTTCCTGACCTCAGCTGTGAAAGTCCACAAGGGCTTTTGGTCACTACAAATGGGCTCTTTCTGATCATCTCATTAGGATGGAATCAGGATATTTCACACAGGAACTTCATAAAGTGAGTGTGTGTGTTGGTGTGCATCGTGTTCTGGACAAGGCTGAGCTGAGGATGGTAAGAGGGAAGCCACAGCAGCATTGTCAGGAGCAACTCTCCCTGATTGTATCTCTCTGCCCACAGGCCAGGACTCCACAAGCCCCATCAGGACAACACACTCTGGGCAGGTGCGAGGAAGCCTGGTCCATGTGAAAGGCACCAACGTGGGCGTCCACACCTTCCTGGGCATTCCCTTTGCCAAGCCACCTCTGGGGCCACTGCGTTTTGCACCTCCTGAACCTGCTGAAGCTTGGAGTGGAGTGAGGGATGGCACCTCCTACCCAGCCATGTGAGCTCTTCCAGGGGCCTGAGGAGCATCAGGTCCAGGGTGGGTTTGGGAACCTCCAAGTGCTAGGTCAAGCCAGCTGTCTTTTCATCCACAGCCAATGCCTACCTCTCAGGAATCTTTTGTGAGTCATATAGGAGGTTTTTATTCCAATGCGAAAGGTGGCCATGGGGAAGAAGCAGGAGCAGAGAAAGAGTACATGTGGGAATATGCTTTGATGACCAAGGGGAGGGTATTGTGAATAGGGGCTGGGATGGCTGTCAGGGTGGGAACAAGAGATATGGGCTGCAAGGAATTGGTGGATAGAGTTGTAGAGTACAGAGTCATGAGGTTACAGTGGATTGATGGAGAGCAAGATTACAAGTTTACAGTTGATTGACAAAGAGCAAAATTTGAACCTAAAGGGCAAACCTGAAGGAAATCGAGACCTAAGGGAAGCAAATATTTAAAATGGGGTCGGGTCTAAAAGGGCAGGGGGCATTATCAATTTTCAGGGCCAACGTTCAAGTCATTCATCACTACTAACCATCTGTGTGCTGTGGACTTCCTGCGAGAACACTTTCAGTGGGCTTGCCAGGCTCCTGCCAGGTTCTTGGCTCAGGACTTGGGACTCTGAGGCTTTTAGTTCCAGGTGCTGAAGATGGAGGGAGAGACTCAGCTCCCCAAGTTTAGCTTCTGCCACATTCTTGTGCTGCCCTGGTGAGGGGGCATTGTCCTGGGTGAGTTCCCCAGGTGGTCTAGCCAAAGCTTGTAGGAGTCCCTAATTGCATCAATAGATCCTGCAGGTACTTAGATGGGCATCAGTGGAACCAGGCATGAGCACAGAGCTAAACCACGGAAAAGGATATTAGCCAAAAGATGTGTGTGTGTATCACAGCTGGAGGCAGGGCAGGAGTGATGAGTGCCAAGGATCCCAGGAAATTGGCCATCTCACTGTCTTCCCTCAGGAAGGGATGGGCATCCAAACACCCAGAGTGTGTTGGGGAGGCACCTGTGCTCAGGGCCTGACTGTGCAGAGGGACACACTGAAGTCAGCACCTGCAGGCAAAACCTGCCAGGAGACCCCAAGAGTAAGGTGTGCTATATCAGTCTCCACCTGCCTGGAAGGTCCCTGGAAACTGGTGCGATCCCAGCTTCCCAGCAGTTTCAGATGTGTATCTGGGACAGAAGGGATATGAGGGCAGGCTTAAGAATGAGCAGCATCACAGGGAAGAGCAAAGGAGAGAATCAGGGACCCAGGCTCTGGCTTGGGCCACTGCATGGATCCTGCACTAATGTCTGATTGGGTGATTTCAGGTGTCCACAGAACCTCGATATAATGGGTGTTGTTGCTAAAAAACTGAATTTCACAATGTTGTCCATTCCCATGTCTGAGGACTGCCTTTACCTCAACATCTACGCACCAGGCCATGCCCATGAGGGCTCCAAGCTGCCTGTGAGTGGGAGGTCAGGGGCAGCTGAGGGTGGGAGGACATCTTGCCCTGACTGGAGGATGGGGAAGGGAAAGGTGACTGTATCCTCCCATGTCATGGATCCTGGTGAGCAGCTCCTCCCTGTGGGGTCCAGGAAGTGCCTCTTCTCCTGGGTGGGCAGCTGAGCACTGGGCATGAGGTCCCAGAAGACTGTGTTATGAGAAGACAGAATATATGGGCCCTAATGGACCCAGAACACCTGTAGCACCCAGCTGTCCAGGAGATATACCTAGGGAACTGGGGGTTGCAGGGCTCAGGACTGGGAAACCTCACAGTATTTACCCTGACTTTCAAGGTGATGGTATGGATCCATGGAGGTGCATTGGTTGTAGGCTTTGCTTCGGCATATGATGGCTCCACCCTGGCAGCCTTTGAGGATGTAGTGGTGGTCACCATCCAGTACCGCCTGGGCATCCTGGGATTCTTCAGGTAAGCCTGGGCCTGGGCCTGGGTCGGGCACTGAGGGAGGAACAGTCCTGGCACAGCCCTGCCATCCCTGTCCTTCCTACTTCTCAGCACTGGAGACCAGCACGCCAGCGGCAACTGGGGCTACCTGGACCAAGTGGCTGCACTGCGCTGGGTGCAGCAGAACATTGCCCACTTTGGAGGCAACCCTGATCGGGTCACCATATTTGGCGAGTCTGCCGGTGGTGTAAGCGTGTCCTCACACGTGCTGTCGCCCATGTCGCAAGGACTCTTCCACGGAGCCATCATGGAGAGTGGGGTGGCTGTGCTGCCTGGCATCATCACCAGCTCATCTGAGACGATCTCCTCGGTGAGTTTCCTTCACTGGTGCAGCCTTGACCTATAACTCCCATCTTCTCTCCTGGAGCCTCTGCTACTTTCTCTGTTGTGTCAAAACACATGGACCATCATGCGACTTGGCACTGCCCACCCAAGGGATGGCTGAGGGGCTCAGGTGTCAAAATCCACATGCCTGTGCCTCAGTAGAGTCTGATACAGTTGTGGGCCCTGAAAAGTGGCGCTGTGAGGTCCACCTAGTCTGTAACCAGACAACCAGGTCAGCTCCCTGAGGCTGAGATGCTCCAAGTCGGGGAGAGAGGACTAGTGAGTGTCAAGGCTGCAACTGCACACCCATGAGACTGTTCCTGCCTCCAGCTGGGCCTTGGGCACCCTCCTTCTTCTCTTACATGGATGTCTAGCCCATGTGCTTCCTATTCAGGTGGTGACCAACCTGTCTGGCTGTGGCCAGGTGGACTCTGAGACCCTGGTGGGCTGCTTGCGGGCCAAGAGTGAAGAGGAGATCCTGGCAATGAACAAGGTGGGACCTCATTCACTGGGACAAATGGGTGATAGACTCTGGTGCCCTTCAGAGTCTCTGGGCTACCAGCTCATGTCCATGCCTTCCTCCCCTCCCAGTACTCGATGCATAGAGATGACCAAGTCCTGTAAGCCAGACATGGTACTCCATGTGTTGAGCTGTAAGGCCGCTGAGTGATCCTGGGTTAAGGGAGAGTTTCAAGAGCAAAAGAAAATTCTGGATCATAAATCTTCTCCACTGTCCTGGGTGTCCCTAGGCCTTCAAGATCATCTCCGGTGTGGTAGATGGCATCTTCTTTCCCAGACACCCCTATGAGCTGCTGGCCTCTGCTGACTTCCAGCCGGTCCCCAGCATCATTGGTGTCAACAACGATGAGTACGGTTGGATCCTCCTCAAAGTGAGTCCAGGCTGAGTTCACAGGAGTCTGTCTCAAGGCCAGGCCTGAGGGGGCAGAGCTCCCAGGAGAACAACTCCCAACCTAAAATCCTCTGCTCGCTCCACAGTTCTTCGGTGTCAGACACACTGAGGATGAAATTAACAGAGTGGCCATGGAGACACTAATACATCAAACATCTGAGCAGTGGGTGAGACCCTTCGGCTCCCGGCCAACAGATCCCTGCCCCTTGGGGACTCCTGGAACCGAGACACACTGGCAGTCTGTGTGCTTGGGGATGGGGTGACCACGAACCTGCTCCTTTGCCCCATTCCCTGTCTTTGTCCAGTACATGGGTCAGTTGTCTCTCTCCCTGGCAGTGAGCTGATGATGACTCTGTTCCTGTTCCTCGGGCTAGATGCTGCCTCCTGGTATAAGGGAACAGTTGGTGGATGAGTACCTGGGGGACAACAAGGACCCCAAGACCCTCATGGCTCAGTACCAGGAGATGATGGCAGACTCACTCTTCGTGATGCCAGCGCTCCACGTTGCACATTTTCAGCGTGAGTTCACCTGCGGCTATGGCCACACTAACTGGGGTTCTGCTTTTACTGGCCAGGGCTGAGCGCACAGCTTTTGGTTCGGGGAGGTATGTCATATGCTGGCTCCTATGCATATATGGCTGGGTCCCTCAGAGCCAAGTACCCATGTCCTTATTTAAGTTCACCATCCTGTTAGTTTAGGAGATGGACATCAGGGGACAGGGGAAGAGACAAGATTGTAGCACGGCTGAGTTAGCTACATTGTGTCAATACCTTCCAGCTACAAAGTCCAAGACCAATACCTAACCTCAGGCCCTTGCCACTGACCTTCTCACCTGGGACTCCACCAGCACCACCTGAGTCAGACCAAGTGGGCATTGCTCTACTGTCCTCTTGGGTAGTATGAGAAACCCAGGGGAAGGGCCTCCATCCATCACCCTGTGCACCTGTTACCCAGGTTCCCATGCCCCTGTCTACTTCTACGAGTTCCAGCATTCACCCAGTTTCATGAAGGACTTCCGGCCACCCCACGTCAAGGCCGACCATGGCGATGAAGTGGCTTTTTTCTTCAGATCAATTTTCTTTGGGAAAAAAGGTGAGGCTTCCTCCTTCCTAGGATGGGGATGCACCAGTTGGCAGTCCTGAGGGGGTGCTGTGACCACTGCACATATGAAAGGGCTGAGGCTCAGATGGAATTAAGCACTCCAAGTCTCACAGTTCCCAGGGCTGAGCCAGGACTGTACTGTGAGTGCCTCGAAACCCAGCTCCCTCCTCCTCTGCCCGGCACCATGAAAAGAGTCTGTCCTGGGTACAGAGTTGTCTACTGAGTGATATGCCAAGGTCATAAGAGTGAAAACCTACTGGGCCAGTAAGAGGCCAAGTTCAGGTGACTATGAGGTCAGGCTTCATTTAGCAAAGAAAAAGCCAAATCCTTGTGGTCAGTAGCAGGTGAATTTCATATTGGCAGCCAAGGGTCAAGCTCCATTGGGTTGGCAAGTGTGGCCAAGGTGGGGCAGTGGGCCTGCTCCTACTTGAGCTGACCCTGTATCCTTTCTCACTGCAGTGACTCTCACTGAGGAGGAGGAGCTGCTGAGCAGGAGGATGATGAAGTACTGGGCCAACTTTGCTCGCACGGGGTAAGACGCTCCAACCTCCCACCTCCCTGGGACCACGGGACCCTTCCCTGTGGGAACCACAGCAGCAGCCCGGTGTTCTGGGTCATGTGACAGCTCCCTCCCCAGTTTCAGCTCCCTTCCCCAGTGGCACATACATGGGTCCTAGCGACCAGGGACACTCTACCCATCCAGCTTATGGTCTTGACATCAGGTTTTAACCTCAGAGGCTCCCCATGGGAGAGAGGGTAATACAGCCTGGATTGGGAGGTCCCCATGTGGATCTGACACCAGGCAACATAACAGCTTCCCGAACCTGGAAATTTATTTCCAACCCTACTGGTCTGCATAGTGGTCTGTCTGGACCTCAGGTAGGCTGCTCAGAGTCCCTGTGTTAACCCCTCCCTGACCTCTCATCTGTAGGAACCCCAATGGCGAGGGCCTGCCACACTGGCCTGTCTTGGACCAGGAGGAGCAGTACCTACAGCTGAGCACACAGCCTGCAGTGGGCCGGGCTCTGAAGGCCCACAGACGCCAGTTCTGGGCACAAACTCTGCCCAAGAAGATGCAGGAGCTGATGGGGGCTGAGCAGAAGCACACAGAGCTGTAGCTGCCTGTGTCTAGGTGGGTGTCCTGGTCCCATCCACAGCAGTCACTTACCTGCCCTCCTTCCCTTTGGCATACCTTTGTGGAGCACCTGCTGCCTGAGGCTCTGTGTTCTTGCCCTGGGTTCCCTGTGTCAGTTGTACTCACACCATTCCCATGAGGCTGTGCAGTCACAACCTGCAGAAGCCCACTTTCCTCATCTCCAACTGGCATAGGACATGTCTTTCTCACCTCCTCTTCTTCCTCTTCCTGATCCTCTCCTCTCTTCCTAACCCCAGGCCATAGAAATCCAGTGGGAACTGCTTTGTGGGTTGTTGTCCACCCTAGGTGTCAGAAGCCTTCATATTCCGCCCAGCACATCCTGCGAGCTCATGTCTGTAAGCAACCCATAGGGGACCTGGGCACCTGGAGACACGGTGTCCTGGTGCCCTCAGGCTGCCATGAGTGGCCTCCTTCCACTCCCTTCATGTTGTCACAAATAAAGGCTCCCATTCCTTCAGCTGAGAAATACTCATCC